GTGTGGGAATTCTATTCCTATGGCAATTTGGGGATCTAGGCTCCTTCAATCTATGGGATTCCTAGATGTTAGCACAGTCTGCTAGATTCTCTGCATTAAGCTGGAAGGAGAATATATAGATCATGTTGGACATTCTTATGACCCTGTAAGTGATTTTCACCACATATTTCTTTGTCTACAACTTAACCAAAGAACACCCCTTACTCGAGGGAGCCTAGGAAATACAGTTTAGTTGCATATCCAAGAGGAACAGGAAATGAATTTGGCAAGCAACTAGCCAGTGTCTGCCACAAATAATAAATTATTTAAGAGGATTTTAGATTTAACATAGGTGGGAGTTGTGTTATCTTATATCACTCCTATAATAGTACAGTAGACCATACCTTTAAAAGTACTGATGTCAAACTATCTTTGTAGATCTACTACCTGTAGACAAATCTGGTGCCTTGTTGGAGTGCTGGCTTTTTAAAATAGTGTACTTATGACTATCTGTGGCCCTTTCCTGGTAGCTACATCTTTTCACAGCAGTACTGTACTCTTTTGCTTTTATATTCCTTTGTTACATTGTTGCAATGCTTTATTAATGCTGCAGTGATAAGGATATGTTGTCCCTTTTGTGCTCTTGGCCAGCATCCAGTGACTATAGGCAAGCACTGTCAGCTCAGAAAGCTTATCAGTCTTTATAATCCCTTTAAACAAATTTTGCTTATCTTTTGCTTATTTTTTTTTGCTTCAGTGTATAGCTGATTAGTAATATTAAATGTATTTAGTCATAGGAATTTATCATATTTGTTCATCTTTTTTTGAACTTTTTATAGGTTCATTTTAGTTATACAAAATATTACAGTTATACCAGCATGGAATATAATTTGTTCTAATTCAGTCCCCAGTATTTCCCATTTCCATCCTTCTCTCCCCTCTCATTCCTTCCTCCTGTTCCCTTTATTCTACTTATTATTTTTTTTTAAATTAGTGCCTTGTGGATATACATAAAGGTGAGATTCACTGTGATTTGTCATATGTGTACCTAAGAGAGTTTGGTCGGGTTCATTCCATTTTTTTTTTTTTTTTCTTTTCCCATTCCTCCTCCTTATACCTTTGATCTCGATTCTGTTTTCATGGAAACCCCCCACCCCCACATTTTTTTTGTGTTTTTCTTATTTTGGTCTGACTTCCACATATTAGAGAAAATATTTGACCCTTGACTTGATTTTCTGGGTCTGGTTTATTTTTTTCGTCTCCGTTCCATCCATTTATTGGCAGATGCCATAATTTCATTTTTCTTTATTGTTGAGTAAAACTCTATTGTGTATCTACACACACACACACACACACACACTATATTTTCCTTTTCTGTTCATCTGTTGACAGGTATCCGTCTATACTGATTTCATAGCTTAGCTATTGTGATTTGTGCTGCTATAAACATGATATGACTACATCCCTGTAGTATTCTAATTTTAGTTCTTTTGGATATATACCAAGGAGTGGGATAGTTGGATCATTTGGTGGTTCCATTCCTACTTTTTTGAGGAATCTTCAAACTGCTTTCCTGAGTAGTTGTTCTAATTTGCAGTCCCATCAAGAATGTATGACTGTACCTTTTCCCCCAAAGCCTCACCGACATTGATCATAATTTTTTTTTTTGTTTTTTTTTTAACCACCAATAGCATTTTATTTGGAAATTTCTATGTATTACATAGGTATTTACTTCCTCTCATCCCTACTCCTACCCCAAACCTCATAAAAGATTAAAAAAAAAAAAAAAAAGTACAAAAATCTCTCATCCGATTTCTCTAAAGTCTTAGGTTAAAAAACATAAGCGGTGCTTTTCCTTGAGGGTGCTGCTCTGAGGAAAATGCGGTCCGTCCTGTGCTCACTACAGACTTCTTCTCCTTCTGGGGAAAAAATGGTCAATGCCTCAGCTTCCTTCTAATAAATTCCTTTCTCAATTATTAAACATTATCATTCCTCACTTGGCACCTTCTTAGAAACTTGATTGTTGGATGCATTTTTCATTTGGCAAAAATTCAATGTGGCTTTGTGTGGGATGTTTAAGCATAAGAAACAGCAGTGTTGATGTTCTGGTTTTGAGAGGGAAAACAGAGAGACGCATACGTTCCCTGGAAGAACAAATGTAGGAGACGAAGATGGGGTGTGCAGGGTTAACAGGGCTGATAGACACTACTCGGTTTGAATTCTGTGGCTGTCAGCTACCAGAGACTGTAGTGTAGGCCAGAATATAAATCTCTTCAAGAACAAGTTTGTTTAGGCTCTGTGAGATGACACAGCCTGCTTCATTTTGTTCCAAGTGTATCAGAGCAGACATGCACAGCAAGGAGAAGTATGGGTCATCCTCAGGGGGCAGAAACCTGTAAATAAACATATGGAGGCATTTCTGCAAATGCCCCGTCAGTCCAGGCAATAGGTGAAGAAGAGAAGCATTCTATTAAAGTACACTTCGATCCTAACTCACCCAAGGCCCCTGGCTTCTTAGAGCCAATATATTCAAGGCCAAAATTAAGCTGAGTTACATGTCACTTGGAAGCTGGTTTGATGGGGCCACTGCAGAAGACTTGGCTTTGCCTGCGAGGCAGCGAGTCTACCCAGAAGGGTATGCCTTGATGATCTTCACGTCGTCCACAGGGTGGTCCTGGGAGTTTGTTTCCACCATTCCCACTCGATTTACCATTCCTATGCCCTGGCACACTCGGCCAAAAATGGTGTGTTTGCCATCAAGCCACTGGGTGGGGGCAAGAGTCACAAAGAACTGGCTGCCATTGGTGTCTGGCCCTGCATTGGCCATTGCAAGAATTCCAGCCCCAGTGAACTTCAAGTCTGGATGAAGTTCATCTTCAAACTGTTTGCCATAGATAGATGCACCACCTCGACCTGTCCCTGTTGGGTCACCGCCCTGGATCATGAAATCTTTGATGATTCTGTGGAATTTGGTGCCATTGTAGTAACCCGGACGAGCCAACTCAGCAAAGTTCTTACAGGTCTTCGGAGCGTGCTTCCAGTACAGCTCCAGGACAATGATTCCCATGCTGGTCTCCAAGTAAACGTTGGGCGGCTGCCAGGAGTCTGGGGGAATGGCCGCCATAACGAAGCCCATAATTTGTTTTCTTGATGATTGCCATTCTTACTGGAGTAAGATGAAATCTCAATATAGTTTTTATTTGTATTCCCTGATTGCTAGAGATGTTGAACTTTTTTCGTATCTTCAATAGCTATTTGTAGTTCTTCTTTTGAGAAGTGTTCAGTTCTTTTGTCCAATTGTTGATTGGGTTTTTTTTTTTTTTTGGTGTTAAGTTTTTTGAGTTCTTTACATATTCTAGATATTAATCCACTGTCTGAGAAATAGGTACCAAAGATCTTCTGCTATTCTGTAGGTTCTCTCTTCACACTCTTGTTTCCTTTACTATGTAGAAACTTTTTAATTTGATGCCTTCCCACTTTTTGAATCTTAGTTTTATTTCTTGCTCTTTAAGAATCTCATTAAAGAAGTTGATGTCGGTACCAATACGTTGGAGTGTCGAGCCTACATTTTCTTCTGACAGTTGCAGAGTACCAGGTCCAATTCCTTGGTCTTCAGTTCACTTTGATTTGACTTTTATACAGGCTGAGAGATAGGAATTAAGTTTTATTCTTCTACATATTTATGGATGTCCAGTTTTCCCAGCACCTTTTGTTAAAAAGGCTATCTTTTCTCCAGTCTATGTTTTTGGTACCTTTGTCAAGTTCCAGATGACTATATCCATGTGGGTTTGTTTCTATTCTATTCTATTGGCCTTTATGTCTGTTTTGGTGCCAATACCATGCAGTTTTTGTTACTTGAGCTCTGTGGTAGGATTTGAGGTCTGAAATTATGATGCCTTCAGTATCTTTTTTTATTCAGGATTGCTTTGCCTATTAATAAAATTAGATATAAAAAAGAATCACCATAGATACTACTGAAATCCAAAGGATCATTAGAAACTATTTTGAAGATTTATACTCCAATAAAGTAGAAAATCTTAAAGATATTGACGATTTCTAGAGACATGTGACCTATCCAGATTGAACCATGAGGATATAGAAAGCTTAGACCAATATTAAATAATGAAATTGAAGCAGTTGTTAAAAGCTCTCCAACAAAGAAAAGCCTAGGACTAGATGGATTCCTAGCTGAGTTCTACTAGACTTTTAAAGAACTAATGCCAATCCTTCTAAAATTATTCCATGAAATTGAAAAGGAGGGAATACTGCCAAATCCATTTTTTTTTTTTCATTTTTAATCGGAAAGGCATTTTTTTTTCTTTTTTTGCAGTGCTAGGTATTGAACCTAGGTACTCTCTGACACCAAGCTACATCCCCAACCTTTTAAATTTTGTGTCAGGCTCTTGCTAAATTGACCAGTCTGATCTCAAATTTGGGATCCTCCTGCCTTTGGGTCACTGTGTTCTAGAAATGAGTTTGGGTCACTGGTGTTCTAGAAATGTGCTACTGCACTTAGGTATAAAGGCAAAAAAAGAATTTAAATTTTTTTAATTTCTTTTGAATAGAAAACTTGCCATATCCATCTAGAAACTATTGAAAAACTACTGTTTGTCATAATCAAGTTATCTTGGATTCATTTCTAACTGGACTTCATTTCTTAGACTTTTTTTAACTTCAAACATTACATTTAGTTTCGTCTGAATTTTCCAATTATAAAAGCATTAGAGTATATTTTATGAATGTTAGCATATTTTCACAGTTTTGAATTTCTTGTGCTTTTTATTTTTTAATACAGTATTTCTAAAATACTCTGTATCCTTGATGCATTTTAAATTGCCTGTACTAGATTTATCACTCCTCAGTTACTTTATTAAATTTAAAAAATAATTTTATAGGTCTCATGTGGCTAAATAGTCACACATCCTTCATGATACAATTGAATGAAAAGGACTCAGAATTGCAAAAATTTGAATAAGGAATTGAAGACATGTTTTAAAATAATTTAACTTAATTCTCTACAGATGGTCCTTCCCTAAAAGAAACAACAGGACCCAGCAGACAGATTTTACAAGGTATGACAAATTTTTATGTTTCTCAATGTTATGAAATTGATTTCATAATTTTCAGTTGTCTAGAGTTTTCCTTTAAGAAAAATACATAACAAAATATTTATGTTTAAAATGTTATTTCTTCTTAAGTGATGATTTTTTTAAATATATATACTACTTAGGTATATTAACTGATTTTTTTTCTTTTTCATTTGACTGTTAAAAAAAAAAATTTCAGAAACTACGAAGTTTAAATATAAGTAATTGCCAGGCTTGTAGACATAGTAATGCTATAGTAGTATTCTGTTTGCCTTCATAGGATTATTATATAGATTTTCCAAGAATAATAATCAGTATATTCTTATGTTGTGGGGAAAATTTAGAGCTAAAAATGTAATGCAGGATAAGACCTCTGTCATATTTGTAGATTTCAGTTAATGGTACCTAATCAAGTGTTGTATGTCATGTAAAATGAGACATTATAAAGTTTTATAAGTGAAAGAAAATCAGCTTTGTCTGGAAACTATTGTAGTTTCCATTTTGGAGATGTGAACCAATATTTGGCTCTGAGGTTCCAGTTAGACTTTATTGCTAAGGGTTCCTAATTCCCAGCTTTATTTACTTTTGATTCCAGTCTGAGTTTTTCAGTAGCTTCTGGTCTAGTCAGTACTGTACCTGTTTTCTCCACTATTTCTTGATCTAACATTTGCTTTTTATTTTTTCACTGAGAATGTTTCTCCATATTGAAGAATTCATTTTCAAAAGGCTTAATAAGTGTATCTTCCATTCACTAATTATCCATTTACAAATTATAGAGAATTATTTCGGAATACCCTTTGCTGAAATAGCTTGTAATCATGTATATTTGATACAGCTATATCATTTTCTATAAGTTAGTTTTGATAACAGTTTAGTTTTGAAAATTATCATGAGTGAAAAAGAAAGGATCTAGCCTTCTACTTATCTTTTATACAGCTAATATTAAAATCAGTTTGTATTTTCTGATTATCTATCAATTTATTGTGACTGAAGGAAACCAGTAGGTAGCTGAAGGACAGATATAGCTGGTTCAAACTTTCCTGCAAAACTACCATGGATACTATGAGTTAACCGAATTTTTCAATTATTTGCTATATCTTGAATAAGAATCCTGGTTTATTAAGTTTGGGAGGATATTATCAACATCCCATCAAGTTTTCCAAGGTTTTAACTTTATACAAGTTAAGCATATTGTTTATGTATTTCTTTAGTGATTTTTCTTCTTAGTTACTATGAAGTAAGCTGGGCTTAGATAGTTAATAACACTTGCTAATGAAAACAGTTTTCAGGTTAGCACATAGCCAGGGACTTTCTAATCTAAGGAAAAATCAAGGACAAGTGATTCTTTTCTTTTTCCTTCCAGTGTCTACAGCTGTTTTCATTGCTGATTTTACCAAAAACACTGCTTAAAATATGTAAAGATTTAATATAAAAGTTTATAGCTTAGGCACTATTTGAGTCAACTTTTTCACTGCTGTGACTAAAAGACCTGACCAGAACAATTGTAGAGGAGGAAAAGTTTATTTGAGGGCTCACAGTTTCAGAGGTCTTAGTCCATAGACAGCTAGTTCCATTCCTGGGGCTCAAGGGCATCTTGGCAGAAGAGTGTGGTAGAAGGGAAGCAGGTCACATGATGATCCGAAAACAGAGAGAGAGATCTCCACCTGCCAGATACAAATATATACCCCAAAGCCATGCCCCCAGTGCCTCACCTCCCCCAGCCACACCCTGCCTGTCTTCAGCTACCACTCAATTATTCCCATCAGGTGATTAATTTATTGAGTTGAGGGTCTCATAACTTAATCATTTCTTCTCTGAACCTTCTTGCATTGTCTCATGTATGCTTTTGGGGCACACCTCACATTCAAACTATAGCAGGGATCTTCATCCCACTTTGATGTATATCTTTCTCTAAAAAGTATTCTCTGACAAAACTTATTGTGGAAAAATTTCTTAAGAAAGCAACTAGCTTTCTGAAGAATAGTTATAATGAATCAAAACTCTATACAAATGAAAAATTAAATGTAGGTATTAAAGGATGAGTTATATTTGGTACTAGACGTAAATTCTGTAGTAGCAGGTGAACTGAAATATCATATCTTAGCACACAAGAGATTCAATTGGACTTATTAGTGATCAGTTTTTAAATTATTAGAAATTGTTTTAAGTTAAATCTGTTTCTATATGTAAAAATAATTATAGTTTACTTTTTATTGTTCAGGGAATAATAAAAAATAGGTATTTCTAAGTTGGGTACATGCTTTTTGCACATTATCTATTTCTTTTCAGATAGTGTAGTTAAGCTATGCGTGGCAGCGCTTGCCAATAAATCCCAGTGATTGGGAAGCTGACCCAGGAAGATCGCAAGTCGGCAACTTAGTGAGACCCTGTGTCAAAATAAAAATAAAAAGAACTGGGGATGTAGCTCAGTGGTTAAGTGCCCTTGGGTTCAATCCCTAGTACCCACCCACCCCAACACACACACACACACACAAACACACACACACAAAGTGACTCTAAGGCAAAATATAAAAAAAATAAGGTCAGATAGGGTACTTGATTGTATTGAAGAGTATTGTTATATTTAGCAAGCCATTATTAAAGTTTAAGAAATAGCATTTTATTACATAGTAAATTTTACTCATTAAGGATTTAAATGTTGAATAAGTTATTATCTTAGTTGAGTCTTTTCAGAAAAAAAATTAAAAATGTATGTGAAACTTCCTTCTTGATATTTTTAATGTTTTCCAGGCAAGTATCACTTATTAAATAATAACATCTGAGTTCTTGAGCAGTTAGAACATCAATATCAGTGTCCCATCAATGTAGTATTTAATTTTTAAAAGTTCAACATGTATTTTATATTCATTTAAAAATATTTAAATCCCTGGTTTCTTTCACTTTGAGTTTGAGCATAGTGTATAACAAATGTAGGTAACAAAAACTTTAAGATAATTAATACATATATCATCAACATAAGCAGAATTAGGGGCCACAGGAAATTCTAGTTCCAAATGGTAATAATTTTAATCACCAGCAGAGGGCTCTGTATGTACATGGATTCATAATTAGAAAACTTCCTTGACCAGTTCATTTAGGCTAATGCAGTTTCCTTCCCTAAATAAATTATTAAAACTTTTGTATTCTTTTAAGCCAGAGATACAGAGATGAATGTTTGTAGTTTATCATATTTTCCTTTTTAATGTTTGCAGTTTTTAAAACTCAGTTCGTTTACTTCTTCATTTAAATTATTCCTGTAAGAGCAAGTATAATTTACCAGATAGTTTAACCCTGTTGATTTTAAAAACATTATTTCAATTTAGTAAATATACTTGATAACTGATTTTCCAAATTGATATTTAGATGTCTATATGATTTTAAGAGTATAATTCAAAGACGTTTTCTGTTTTAAATTGAACGGAAGCTATGGTGCTTACTTTTATTATGCTTTATTTTTAGGTGTATTTTTACACATTCTAGCAGATACACTTGGGAGTATTGGTGTAATTGCCTCTGCAATCATGATGCAGAATTTTGGTTTGATGATAGCAGATCCTATCTGTTCGATCCTTATAGCCATGCTTATAGTTATAAGGTAAGTATTATTATGTTACTCACAGGTATTAAAATGAGAGGTAGGTAAAAAATATTGAATTTCTTTAAAAAAATTCCTACATAAATTCTCTTCTCACTTTTATAATTTTTTTCTTTTTCTCATTTATTTCTTTTATGGAATTTGACTTTTTTTTTTTTTTTTTTTTTTTTTGGCACTAGGATTAAACCCAGGGTTTTGTATGTGCTAGGCACTCTACCACTGAACTCCATCCCAAACCCTTTTTTAAAAATTTTATTTTGAGTCAGAGTCTCACTAAGTTGTCAAGGCTGCCCTTAATCTTGCAATTCTCATGCTTCAGCCTCCTCATTAGCCATATTGTCATTGCAGAAGTCTTTTGCTTATTGACATAAATGTATGTTTAATTCCCACCTAGATTATAAAATTCTTGAGGAATCATCTCTTAGCTCTTTTCTTTTTATTCCCTACCATAGTCCCAATGTACATGTAAAAGCGTTTGTGTGTATAGATGTATAACTTCTCAGTAAACATTTGCTGAATTAGATTGTATAGTAATTATCACCAAAGTTTCTCTTACCCTGAGACATTTTATTATTGCTTTAATTTTTATCAGAATAATATGTTCCTTTATTTTATGGTCATCAGTTATTTTAAAATTTGCATATAATGTCTGTATTAGAGTATTTTTTTAATATTTATTTTTTAGTTGTAGTTGGACACCGATATCTTTATTTTATTTATTTATTTTTATGTGGTGCTGAGCATCGAACCCAGGCCCTCGCACATGCTAGGCGAGTGCTCTACACTGAGTGATAACCCCAGCCCCTATATTAGAGTATTTTTATGTTTCCAAATGATTTTACCCTCAGGTTCTTTTGTAATGATAGCAAAGGCCTACTTGAGGTCAGTCTGATGATTTTTATAGCTCATAGTTGATTAGAGTAGATTGTGATGAAATCATAATGTTAAAATTACTCACAAGTGGAGATTTTGAAGTTTCTTTCTAAAGAATATATAAATGTAGATTAATTTTAAATTTCTGTATATTATTAGTAAAAGGAAGCAACTCTGTTATACCAAAGTCTTTCTAAAGCTTAGAATGCCTTTTCTTCATCTTTGGAAATCTTATTACACTTTCTTGAAAGTTTGGCTTAGGTGTTACATATTCTATGAAACCTAACTGCTGATGAATTTGGTAAGTCTTATATCTGTATTTCTTTATAGATGCATTCAGTAGTCATTTTATTTTTTATGTATTATATTTCTTAGTTGCTTCTAATATTTCTTAAGAGTATTATCACTTTTTTTTGTCTCCATTATTATTATCCTAATTCTATCTATTATATCTTGCTTGGAAAACTATGACAGCCTCCTTTCTGTCTCTTGAAACTCTCCATGCTGGCTAAAATTATTTTTTTTTTGATGAGGATAACAAGATATATAAAAGTCATCTTTTTTAAAAAAATACTTTTTCATTGTTTTAAGTGGGTATCTAATTCTTACAAAAAGTTGGCACACTGATTCTGAATAAAAAGAAATTTGTGCCTTTTTTCAACATTAGGGAATTACTTTTTCTAACCCCAAATAGGGACTTCTTATTTAGTTCTGTTCTCATTCATTTATTCCATAAATATAAGTAAGCAAACAGAGAAAACTTTTTAAAAACTGAAATATAACACACTTAAAAAAAATGCACAAATAATTTTCAGCAAATAATTTCTTAAAAGTAGATTCTTTTAGCCAGGTTGAAAAAGACAACATCCAAAGACAACTACTGATTTTTCACTGTAATAGGAGAGAGAGAAACAGATTAATAAGTAAACCACTCAAACATCACTATTTTTATTGTGCTGAGAGTTAAAATAGGATATGTGATGTGACTGAGTTGCCACTTTAATCTGAGTTAAGACTTCTAAAGTGAGGGTCTTTAGGTTGAGATCTGAATGTTGTGAGAGAACTGGTGGGAGGAAGAACTTTTTAGTTTAAGAACCAGCCAATATAAAAGCCCCATAGTGAAAACAGCTTTGCCACTGAAAGGAGGCTAGTATGGCTGAAATAGGGAGTAAGAATGGTTTAAGATAAAGTTGGAATGGGCTAGGAGAAATTATGCAGGGCTAGAAGTTTGGATTTTGTGCCAAGTGCAGTGGGACATCTTCATAAAGGAGTGACAATATTTAATTTATATTTTAAAAATCATTTTGACTGAGGTGTTGGAAATAGGGGCACAAGTACAGACAGATGGACCAGTCATGGACCAAGTTAGAGGTCATGGTGGCTTGGCTTAAGGTACTGATATAGAAAATGGGGAGATGTGGATCAAATTAGAAAATGCAGTAGGGTTGAGCCAACAAGATTGGCTCATGGATATGAATGTATGGGTCAAGACTAAGTGGACAAGGGAATCAGGGATAATTCCTAGAATTTTTACCTGCACAATTAGGTGAATGAAAGTGTTGTTAATTGAAAGAAGATTGGAAAAAGAGTAATGTTTTTGTTAGTTTTTGAAGGGGCCTATAAATCACAAGTTCTTTTTTCAGTTGTCACAGGTTTAAGATCTTTCATTAGACATTTATATAGAAATTTTAGGTAGGCAGTATACAAATATGGAATTATTGGTAGCAGTCAACTGTACATAGATTTTAGAAATAGTCCACATGTAAGCGGAGCATGGCAGTGTATGCCTGTAATCCCAGTGGCTTAGGAGGCTGAGGCAGGAGGATCTTGAGTTCAAAGCTGGCCTTAGCAAAAGCAAGGTGCTAAGTAGCTCAGTGAGACCCTCCCTCTAAATAAAATGCAAAATAGGGCTGGGGATGTGGCTCAGAGGTCAAGAACCCCTGAGTTCAATCCCTGGTAACCCTCCCCCCAAAAAAGAAAATAAATATTCCACATGTAGATTTAAAGTCATGGAGTCAAGCTACCATTCCCCTTACTTCTATTTTCTTGGAAAAATGCCCCTTAATATCATAGTTCTTGCTGAAACGTAGCTTCGGGGTCCCTTTCAATATAGTATTTTAGGCAGCCACAACCAGCCATATAAAACCTGTTTGTCATCTTTAGCTAGGACCTACTGACCTCTTTTTTATTTAATTAATTAATTTTTTAAAGTTGTTAATGGACCTTTTTTTTTAAAAAAAATTTATATGCGGTGCTGAGAATTGAATTTAACCCAGTGCCTCACACATGCCAGCCCACTCCAGCCCATTTTTAGGTTAATTCTTTTTTTTTTTTTTTTTTGGTGGTGCTGCTGGGATTGAACCCAGGGCCTTGTGCGTGCAAGGCAAGCACTCTACCAACTGAGCTATATCCCCAGCCCCTACTGACCTCTTCAAAAGTTTTTGTAGTTTACATATATGCATAGTTTCAGGTCATAGAATTGTATTCCTTTTCATTATTGTAGATTCCTTTCATTATTGTTAAGGTTTAGCATTTATATTATTTGCTCTTTTATCTGATACTTAAAGTAATATATGCTGATTGTAAGAAATTTATTACTAAATGTATGATAGGTATTAAAATGTTTTGTAATCACACTGTTTGGAGATAACAGATAACTTAAAAATCATTTGTCAAATGCTATGATGCCTTGTATTGGGCTATTAACAAGATAGGCAAATGCCTGCCATTGTGGAGCTTACATTTTAATAAGTGAAATAGTAAAGCAAACAAATGTGCAAACAGATAATGTAATCATTTTATGATAAATGTGCTAAAGCAGGATAAAGATATACTATTTTAGAAAAGCCTGACAAGGCTACTTCATAAGGTGACATTTGAACAGAAACATGAATGGAAAGAGAGGGACATAGGACTACTCAGAGGAAGAGCGTTCCTAGTAGATGGAGCTTCATTTATAAATACACAGAGGCAGGTACATGCCTGACATGATTGAGGAACAGCAAGTGGAGCAGTATAGTTGGAATGCAGTGAGCAGAGCAGAGTAGTGGATAGCTAGAGTTCAGGGAACAGATTGGGGTGGAAGATATAAATTTAGGTATCATCAGTTTATATACAGTATTTGAAGCCATGAGGTTAGGTGATTATGCCCAGAGAATAAGGAGAGAGGACTGAGGACTAAGCCCTAGGAGAGGTGAGCAGTAAGAGGCAGCAAAAGCAAGGAAGAACAAAGTGGAGTGCTGTGAGGTGGGAGGAAAGACATGAACACATGTTTCAGAATCTATGTGAAGAAAAGTGTTTCAAACAGGAGGGAATAAGCTGAATGCTCCTGGGAATGATAATTGGCAACTTATAACAGACGTTCAGGGGGGTAATAAGAATGAAAACCTGATCAGAGTAGCTTCAAGAGAGAATGGGAAGGGAGGAAATTAAAAGAGCAACTACAGTCAACTCCTTTTCAAAGCCTTCTGCTGTAAAGGGGAGCAGTGTGATTGCCTGGCAGTACTGAGGACCCACTTTGAGGTTTGTGGTCATGAATTTAAAGTGAAAACAACTAGTACGGAAGTCTGTTTTTCTCCAGTCTTATTTAAGCTACTTCGTAAAATTTATGGAATACACAGAGAGCTGGATTTAACAGATTTGTGTTTTGTCAGGTCAGTACTAACAGAAAGACAATGCAGGGATTACAATGATGGAAAATTGAGATTTAAAGGTAATGATACATGCTTTAAAGAAGCCATCAGTGGATTAGAGGTTTTTGTTTTGTTATTGGTTTGGAAAGAAGTGTTAGACTGCAGGTATTAAAGGAAGTGATCCAGAAATGGGGAGGTTTATTCACATTGTGAAATGCTCAAAAATTGACATCCTAAGTCCAAGGTATAATCATAGGGGTGGAGGTTAAGATTATAAAACAGGGACCAAAGGTTGGATGGATTGTTCGTGTGGACATTTAAAGTAAGAGTAATGAAAAGGGTAGATGTGAAAAGATGATAAACCTGTTGCTAAATCTTTCTTCTGTAACTGAAGGGGACCAATCAAGAATTTTAAGAACTGGTTACAAGGTGTCTGGAGTGTGGAATAATCTGATGGGTGTGGCCTTCAAGGAACTGTATTGTGGGTAGGAGTAT